GGGGGGGACCGCATGGCATTTTGCCTGACTAGGTGCCTCTCCTCCCCAACCCCCACCCTCCCCAGGTTCCACCCCCAAATCTCCCGGAAACTCCCAACCCAGAGTTGGAAACCCTGTTTCCGAGGCAGATGGGGGGGTGATGTCCTCCTTCCCTGGATCAGACCCATTGGGTGAATGGGGCAGCCACCAGACTGACCCTCGGGTTTCCCCGCCCCAGTCTGGATTAGATGCAGGGATGGTCTGATTTGCAGCCAGGAATCCCTCTCAACTAGAGTTGCCAGCTCTGGATTGGGAGATTCCTTGAGATTGGGGGGGGGGGGGGAAGCCTGGGTTCCCCCCTCCAAAGAACCATTTTCTCCAGAGGAACTGATCTTGACTTTCTGGAGATTGATTGTAATAGTGGGAGATCTCCAGGTGCCACCTGGAGTTTGGCAACCCTGCTCTTGACTGACTCCAGGGACAGATTGTTGGGTCCACTTTGGCTAGGCAAATTCTATAGTAAACAAAAGAAACCCTGTTATTTGAATAGAGATGCTCTCCTAGAGTTGCAGTAGTTCGGACTGTCAGCATGTCTGGTTATTAAACTAGTCTCGATGATTAATGACAATTATGCTATAGAATATTACAATTCTTTATATTTAAACAGAACCATTCTTGAAAACCATCCTTGTGTTTATTAGGAGCTTTTTTTTTTTAAAGTGCTCCCCCTTCCTAATATTTCCATTGGAAAAATGGAAAAAAGTCCTTAGACTTTTGCACACTACACATTTGAGTGTGCAAAATTTGGCCTTAAGGAAGCATTTTACTCATTCTAAAAGAAAGAAAAAATCATAGGAATTTTTTCTAGTGCTCCTCCAGATTTCCCAGTGTTATCACTGGACAAATTGAAGAACAGTCCTTGGTGTGTGTGTGGGGGGGGGGGGGAGCTGCCCAGAATCTTTCCACCCCCCCCCCTCCGGCTTTCACATCTGCAGGCCTGACCGTTGTCTCTTTTTCTCTCAGGATGTGGAGTCCTTGGTTGCCCACTGGAACCTCTACATCAACCTGGCTGGCTTCTTTGTGGGCCTCTTTTCAGTGACCCTGTTTGGTCCCTGGAGCGACAGCGTGGGCCGCCGGCCGGTCCTCATCCTGCCAGCGCTGGGCATGGCCCTGCAGGCAGCCGCCTACCTCCTGGTCATGTACCTCAAGCTGCCAGTGGGCTACCTCCTGGTAGGCCGCATCCTGAGCGGTTTGTCGGGCGATTACAACCTGATTCTGGCAGGGTGCTTTGCCTATGTCGCCGACGTCAGTGACAAGCGGACACGCACCTTCCGGGTGGCCGTCTTGGAGGCATGCCTCGGCCTGGCGGGGATGGCGGCCAGCATCATCGGGGGCCAGTGGCGGAAGGCTGAAGGGTACCTTGCGCCATTCTGGCTGGTCTTCGCCGCGAGTGTCTGCGCTGCTCTCTACGCAGCTCTCTGTCTCCGGGAGTCGGTGTTGCAGAGACGGCCGGGAAGACTGTTCACCCTCCGCCATTACATGTCTGTGTACCACCTTTACGTGGACCCCTGCCGGGGCAGGGCCTGGAAGAAGCTCGCCCTCTATTCTCTTGCGTTCTTCCTGCTGATCACCGTGCATTTTGGAACTCGGGACATCTTGGTTCTGTACGAGCTGAGCTCTCCGCTCTGCTGGGACTCAGAGCTGATCGGCTACGGCTTGGCCGCCCAATACCTGACTTATCTCACCAGCTTGGCTGGGCTGTGGCTCCTCCAGAAGTGCGTGGCGGACACCTGGGTGGCAGAAATGGGTCTGCTTTCCAACATTTTGGGGCTGGGGGTGATTGCCCTGGCTGCCACCACCCCACTGATGTTCACAGGTAATCCTGGCTTTCGGGCTGTCCGGGGAGGATTGGCCGGTTCTGTCCTCGGGTCTTCATCAGAAGTACACAAGGGTGGCTTTGCTGGATTGGACTGAAGTTTGTTTATGTTTATTTGGATTTAGATCCCGCCCTCCCCTTGACGGGCTCAGGGCGGGGTTCCAACAATATAAATACAGTCCAACAATATAAAGTTCAATACAATTAAAACCACATTAAAACATACGACTCTAATCAAAGCCAGCTACACTGGGAACAATTTCCCAGAGATCTGTTAAATATAGGGTCTCCGACCCAGGCTGTAAATGGGGGCCAGCCCAGCTGTAAATAGGGGCCAACCTGGCGGAAGAGTTCCGTCTTGCAGGCCCTGCAGAATTGTAATAAATCCCGCAGGGCCCTGATCTCACTCGGGAGCTCATTCTACCAGGCAGGGGCCAGGGCCGAAAAAGCCCTGGCCCTGGTCGAGGCAAGTCGGACGTCCCTGGGGGCGGGGACCACCAAAAGATGCTGATTGGTGGACCTCAGTGCTCTACGGGGCTCATATGGGGAGAGGCGGTCTCAAAGGTATGCCATATAGGGCCATATAGGGTCCATATGGTCCGGCATTCTGCTTTCCACAGGGATCACTATTGTGACTAAATAGCTTTGATTTTGGTCCCATTGGCTGCTTCTGTCTTATCCTAAGCTGCCTTATCCTAAAAGTATTGTCAAGTTAAACTTCCGGCAGTTCTCCGGGGTCTTAGGCCAAGGGCTTTCACATCTCCTTCTGTATAAGGTGGCTTTGTGTGTTCATGTGTTCAAATAGCTGCTGAGATAGCCATTTTAGTGCATGGCAGCAAACACCAAAATGGAATCTTGGGGAACCCGTAAGGACTGGGATATTGCAATGAATTTATTAGATACCAGTAACCCATTAGCTTTTAAATGTACTACGAGACTGTATCTGTGTATGTGTGTTGTGAAATGGTGCTTACGTGAGTCTATAATACTTTGCTTCATGCAGAGAAACTCCAAAAGTGACTGACCGACAACAGAAGGGCAGATTGTGTAACAGAATCCATACATTCTGGATTTAAACCTCTTTGAAGCAGACCGAATTCTAAAGGCTTTGTTCCCAAAGGCTCCTGGGAGGGATAGTTTCTTGAAAGGGATGCGATTTTCTTGTTGGAGGTCAGCCTTGTGGCTAGGGAATGTTTGGGAGGGGGGCCACCAGCTAATCAAATTAAATCATAATTAAATTAACTTTGGTTTAAATAGGGGGACTCCTTAGAAGCTGGCCTTCCACTAAGGCAGGGGTGGCCAAACTCGCTTAATCTAAGAGCCACACAGAATAAGTGTCAGATGTTTGAGAGCCGCAAGACAGGAACAAATATTACACATTTTATTTGGAAAATAGGCAGATCTGCTTTTTATTGACATTAAATGAGACTGCCAAAAACAATAACAAAAGCAGGTATTGATAATGATATTTATTTGTCCGACGATATTTGTTTGCTAATGATATTTCGCTTCCCCAGCTGCCCTGCCGGGAGCCGCACAATAAGCGTGAAAGAGCCGCATGCGGCTCCCGAGCCACAGTTTGGCCACCCCTGTGCTAAGGCAGCCCTGCACCCCCTCCAAGCTCCAGGGCAAGTGGGGGGGGGATGCCCAGTGACCGTAGCTTCCCTCCCCTCCCAGCAAGGGCATGGGGAAAACACAGTTGGGGGGCACGTCGGGCACTCATCATCGGGTGTGCTGCTCTGCTGGTCTGGCAGACATGAGTGGTGGTGGCTGCAGGAGCGGCAGCAGCGGGGGAGGGGACCCCCAGCAATGCCCGGGCCATGGGGGGGGGGAGAAGTGACGTCCTCCACCTGCACTGGGCCTGCCCTCCCTCCGCTGGAGCACCGTGTCCCTGCTCAAGTTGCGAAGCCAGGCAGGGCAAGGCAGGCGGTGGGCAGCAGCATCCAGGAGGGGGACGGCACGGGAGGGGGGGAAAGAGATTGAGCGGGGGGAGTGGGAAGAGGCATCTGGGGGCCGGCTGCAGGACGCGCCCCCCAGCCCACCCTCCCACCCACCTGGGCTAGCCTGGAAAGCCTGTCCGCCCGCCCACCGCACCACCAAGCAAGCCAGGCACCTCCTGCTGCTGGGGCCGCAGCCACCTCTGTTGCCGCCGCTGTTCTGGAGTAGCTGGCTGCTTGGGCCCAGCCAGGGGGCCACCTCCACCTAGGCACCTCCACAGAGGCTGGGAGGGGAGTGAGGCCTGTGGGGGAGCAGTCAAGGTGCTCAGTTATCCGGCAGCCAGGTCGGAGGTGGTGAGTTGAGGCACTTTGGGGCCAGTCTGGGAGGGAGAGGCGCGGAAGAAATGCGAGGGGGCTAGGCCCCATGGGCCCCCGTGTTAGCCACAGGCCTATTGGAGGTCCTCCTCACAGTTTCTAGTCTGGGAAGAAGGATGCAGATGGTTCAGATTCTGTACTGTGGACCACACCATGCATGTAGAAGACCAAAAGGGGATGGGATGTTGGCACAAGACCTGGCTGAAGGGAAAGGAAACTTCCCGGTGACTGGGGGGGGGGGGGGTTTTGCCTGTTTCTGGAGGGAGCGTTGTTGCTTGTCTTGGCCCCATGTCAAGCCACAGAGGGGAAGAAGAAGAAGGGAAAGCTGGCTTGTGGCGCTGGGGACCCTGCATTGTCGTCCCCCGTCCCCCCAAAGGACAGCCACTTGCCAAGCTGTTTGTGCCCCTTTGAGCTTCCGTAGGCAAGGGTTTGCTTCATCAGATGCAAGGGAGTCCAGGCACACACATTTCTCCTTTGACGAAACTATCAAGGAATGACTTGCATTCGTGGTGTGGCCCTGCAGGTGGCCTGTACTAATTGAGAACATCAGAAAAGCCCCACTGGATCAGACCAATGGTGCATCTAATCCAATATCCTTTTCCCACTTTGGCCCTTCCTGTTACCCCAGAAGGCCCATAGCAGGGGGCACAAAGGCTAAACACTTCCACTTTACTTCCCCTGTTGTTCACCTGGTATTTTTGGCCACTGAGTGACAGAGTGTTGGATTAGATGGGCCATTGGCCTGATCCAACATTGGCTTCTCTTATGTTCTTATGTTGCCCTCCCCAGCAGCTGCTGTTCAGAAGTATGCTGCCTCTGAACATGGAGGTTCCATAGAGCCAGCATTGGTTTTCAGCAAAGGCCTTTCACCTGCTGGGTAATGTCTTTGGCTGAATTTGCCCTTGCTGCTGGGTTGCTAAAAAAAATATATGACATCTTTACCAAGTGTTGCCAGAAGGCCCTTATGGGGGAACAGTGCCTAGCAAAGTTTCGTGGGCCGGATTTGTGGCTCCTTTCTTAACCACCATGCTCTGCCTCACAGCCTGTTTCTGTTTATGCCCAGGTTACGGCCTCCTCTTCCTTTCGATGGCAGCAACGCCCGTGATCCGCTCCAAGCTGTCTAAATTGGTCAACGAGACAGAACAGGGTAAGGTGAACGACGGGTCTGCCACCCATAGCCTGGTGGTGAATGAGCTGGGCGGGCCAAGGTGCATGTGGCAGTGCAGAATGCAGCTTCTTGAGAAACGTTGTTTTTGATTGTTGTTTTTTTAATGAGCACACTTCTAGCTCCACTTGATGCACTTGAAAGTGTGCCTTATCTGTGAAGGGATCAGACCCCAGGGGGGCAGTTGAAAAGGGGGGTGTCAGGAGTAGGAGGCCCAGCAGAGTTCCTCGGACCACGCAAGATAGCACCCATTGCAGAATGAATTCTGTAACTTTTCTCAGTTTGGCTTTTTAGGGACAGGTTTTTAGGCGTCTAGAGGCTTTGTCGGAGGGCTCAGGGCCAGGCCTTGGGCCTCGTTCTCGTCTCTGTCCCGTCCCCCATCTGCAGTGGATTCTTGGACCAGACACTCCCAGGAGCAGAGAGCAGGTTCAAAGTACTGTGATCAGCCCGCTATGGAATGAAGTTTGAGAAGGGCCGTTTCTTTCGGTTTCCCACAGTCGCTTTTATAGGTTACAGCGGTTCCTCAGTGCTTCCTTGGGAGGTGGCGGGCTCTCCTTCTCTGGAGGTTTTCAGACAGAGGCTAGATGGCCACCTGACATCAATGTTGATTCTGTGAACTTAGGCAGATCACAAGAAGGGAGGGTGGTGTCAGGGTCTTTAGTCAGGTTACGCAACACAGGGCTTCATGAGAAGAGAACTGTTTATTGGTAGATTCAGTACTAGGGACACGTGTACAGCTTGTGTCAGGAATGGCTGCCAATACTAGGGCCTCTGACTTATGCTAGAATCAAACATCCCCCCTGTAAGCATAAGCCAATGGATACATCTCGCGTGCGGGAGCAAAGCACGCAGGCAAAGCACCTACAAGGTCAAGCATAAGGTAGCAAACAGTTGGTGAGCCAGGGAGAGCTTGAGACAGAACATGGGAGGCCAACCCTCCACATTCCAGACCTATGACAGGGCTACCTGACAGGTGGGAAGGGTTGCATCAATGCTTGGTTCTTGTGGCCCTTTCTTACACGCCCAGGGAAATGCTGATCGCCACTTTGGGGTCCAGAAGCAATTGTTCTCCAGGCCAGTTTGGACAGGGACCCTGGAGGGTTGGGGGGGTTTTTTGCCTTCTTCTGGGCATACAGCAGGGGTCACTGGGGGTGGGGGGAGGGAGGGTATTTTGTGACTTTCCTGTATTGCGCAAGGGGTTGGACTAGATGACCCTGGAGGTCCCTTCCAACTCTGTGATTCTAGGTGCATTACCTCTGTGCAAACTTTCTCTCCTTCAGGGGCCCTCTTTGCTGCGGTGGCCTGCACTGAAGGGCTGTGCTCCCTTGTGGCCACGGGCGTCTTCAACTCTCTCTTCCCAGCAAGCCTGCACTTCATGAAGGGCTTCCCGTTCCTCTTTGGGGTCGCCCTCCTCCTTCTTCCAGCTGCCGTTCTCGGGTAATCCTTGTCTTGCTCCTTCCCCTGGGGCAGGTACCCTTCTCAGGCTGAGTGTCCCATGGTTGGAGGGCTGAGTGTGGTGCAGGGGTGACGGTGCTGGAGTAGGACCTGAGAGACCCAGGCCTGAGTCCCCAGGAGGGTCTGATTCCCCCCTCTCTCTTCCGTCCAATACGACTGCCAGAGAGACCTGAATGAGACCCTCCTAGACTGTCTCCAGCAGAGGCCAGCAAGACATCCAGTTTGGTGTAGTGGTTAAGTGCGCTGTGTAGTGTGGTGTAGTGGCTAAGCGCGGACTCTGATCTGGGAGAACCGGGTTTGATTCCCCACTCCTCCACTTGCACCTGCTGGATGACCTTGGGCAAGCCATAGTTCTGGCACAGCTGTTCTTGAAAAAGGGCAGTTTCTGTCAGAGCTCTCTCAGGCCCACCTACCTCACCGGGTGTCTGTTGTGTGGAGGGGACGGGAAAGGAGATTGTAAGCCGCTCTGAGACTCCCTTGGGTAGTGAAGGGTGGGGTATAAATCCAATCTCTTCTTCTTCATCTGTGGATGGCCCACCAGCAGGGCGGGGAGGCAGCAGCCCTTCCCCATGATTTCCTTCCCAGGGCATAGGCAGGCTACCATTTAGCCATCCCGGCTAATAGTCAGAGGAGCTTCATGGTTGAGCGGGGATTTGCGTATGCCCAGCTGCTGTGCTCTAGTCGCTGCATGACACAGCTCCTGTGCCCTCGAGAGTCTAACGCTGTCCATTTTCTCCATCCCTCCCTGTCCCAGGTGGATTGAAATCCAGGATTCAAAACCCGAGTACAGCCACTTTGAGGACTTGCCCAGCCCAGTCCAGGAAGTGGTGGACTGACCGCCGTTGTTCCAGAATTGGTCGCAGTTTGCATGTGCCCTGGTGGCACTGAAAGCACCAATGTGGTTTTGCCAGAGTTTTAATGTTGATGGAGCCAGAACTGGGGGGCGGGCGGGCATTCTGTGGCCCTGTCTTGCTGGTCTTGTGAGCAAAGGGCGAGACGAACACAAGAGAACGGCTGAGACGTCACGCTTCCAGGCAATCTGCAGTGCAGGAGCAGTTTCTTCTGTGGGGGACAGCCTCTCTCCAAAGGTGTTCTCTTGCCAAAGGCATCAGCTGAACTGCAGGTGGAAAAGGCCATGTGAAGCTGAGAGCTGAGAGGAAGGAGCTGGGCTGTTGTGCCTTGGTTTGCCAGCCAGTCAGGTCATTTCCAGAAGGCACAAGGAAGCCTCCCCCACCCACCCGATTGAAAGGGAAGCGAGAGCTAGCAACTAGTACAGGAATGGGCATCTCTGCTCTCAGATGCATTTTCATGTGGACAGCCAAAACTCCTTCTCAGCCTGGAATTTCAACAGGAGACTTTGGGGCAGGAAAACCAGTCAGATACAACAGTGGGCTTTTCCTCCAGACAGTGCATGGCACAGGTGATTGGATAGGTAGGGCTGCAGGTGGAGAAGCACCCCATTGGGATGCCAGTCGACTATCCTGTGCCAGGGCAGGTGCCCGCTAGTTGCCCCTGCCTTGTGATTCTCTCTTGGCTGCAGCCTGGACATGTAGCTCTAAAGTGTGGTATGGTGGTTTCCTGGTCTTGGGCTTCTCGTTTGGGTGTCTGCTGAGAGCTCCACCTTCCCTTGAGTTATGCATGGCAGTTCACCTAAGAAGCCAGTAAGAGTTCACCTAAGAAGCCAGTAACTGTGTGGGACTCGCACAGAGTCTGTGCATTTGTGCCTGGATGCTTTCTACTACCTCAGGGAACTAGCTGTGCCTGGGGGCTCTCCACTCGCTTTTGTTTGCGCCTGATGGCAGATATCAGTGGCACAAGCACTGGAGCGTCGCGAAGCTTACGGCTGGCACTGGCTGCTTTCTGGCTCCTTGCTTTTTGCAGTTCTGCACTGGTTGGGACTGGAGGCGTTTCCACATTCTCATTTCCCTCGCTTGTGTGTTCCTGTTGCTCCAAGGGCTTTTCCCCCCTGTTGCATGTGTTTTGCTTCCTCCAGCGGTTGATTCGGTATTACATCTGTATGTGTTTGGCATATCTCCCTGCAGGTTTAAACCGCAGGTTTTTATGTTGGACATATAATGTGATGTAATATCGAACCGATCACTAGAAGGAGCAAAACACACGTGGAACATAAAAAAAACCAAAACACCCTGAAGCAACAGGAGCCACGAGGTCAATGAGAATGTGATAATAAAGCCGTTTGTGTTCTCTGTGCTCTTAAAAACAAGCTTCTGAATGATAATAAAGCAACTTTTGCAAGTCTGATAAATCATACAAATTAAGTCCGCTTTCCAGGGCTCTTTTTGTAGAAAAAGCCCAGCAGGAACTCATTAGCATAATAGGCCACACCCAACAGCAGAAACTCATTAGCATATTTGGCCACACCCCTGACATCACAGCTCATTAGCACATTAGGCTGCACCCCCATGTTGCCAAAAGTGTGGTCATCCAGCCACACCCACCTTTTGCTTCTTATTCTGTTTACCTTGTTTGTTGTCAAAACCCAGGGCCTTTTTTTGTAGCAGGGACTCCTTTGCATGTTAGGCCACACACCCCTAATGTAGCCAATTCTAATGAGTTTCTGCTGTTGGGTGTGGCCTGTTATGCTAATGAGTTCCTGCTGGGCGTGGCCAACTCGGGAGCCAGCCGGAACTCCGTCCTGTGCGTTCCTGCCCAAAAATAGCCCTGCCGCTTTCTAAGTTAGCAGGGAGGGGGGAGGCCAGGCATTGAAGCTCAGCTTCTTACCCAGCCTAGAGCTTTTGAGATTTTTACCAGAAAGAGCCTGTATGCTCTTAAACCCACTCCTGCAATGATGAGAGCTTGGGACTCGCTTTAAAAAAACTGCTGAACAGCTGCAGCTCCCAGGATTCTGCCCTCCGGAGCTATTTGTCATGATTGCCTGGGGCTGCGGCACAAGATAGAACATAAGAACATAAGAGACGGCAATGTTGGATCAGGCCAAAGGCCCATCCAGTCCAACGCTCTTGTCACACAGTGGCCAAAAATACCAGGGGCCATCAGGAGGTCCACCAGGGGGGCCAGGACACTAGGAGCCCTCCCACTGTTGACCCCCCCAAGCACCAAGAAGACAGCGCATCACTTGCCCCAGAGCCCCTATCTATACCTTGTGGCTAACAGCCACTGATGGACCTCTGCTCCATATGCTTATCTAGATCATCCTGACATTGTACTTGGCTAGTGCAGCACATATACTGGTCCAGGCTGCATCTGCAAAAACCATTTCTGGAGTGGTGGCTAAGCAATAAAGTCAGTGAATAAAACCAAACAGGTGTATTGCCGGGTCTGACTGACCCTGGGTTGGAAACACTGGGATTATGAAAACCGTAGGAACGATGATGCTAGAGCAGACCACGGGTTCTTGGAGCCTGCGCCCCTGAAAAGCCCCTCACGCAGCGTCTGGTATTCAAAGGTATGCAGTCTGTCACAGAACACCCAATTCGCTGGTGGACTTCACTGACACAGGATGGAGTGAGGACTGCTGGCTTACAAGCCTTTAGTAAAGGGTGCTAGAGGAAGACAGCTATATGACAGCTATAGAAAAGAGCAAGAGTACAGGAGCACCTTAAAGCCAGATTGGTGTAGTGGTTAAGTGCGCGGACTCTAATCTGGGAGAACCGGGTTTGATTCCCCACTCCTCCACTTGCACCTGCTGGATGACCTAGGGCAAGCCATAGTTCTGGCACAGCTGTTCTTGAAAAAGAGCCGTTTCTGTCAGAGCTCTCTGAGCCCCACCTCCCTCACAGGGTGTCTGTTGTGGGGAGGGGAAGGGAAAGGAGTTTGTAAGCCGCTCTGAGACTCCTTTGCGTAGTGAAGGGCGGGTATAAATCCAATCTCTTCTTCTCTCTCAGCCCCACCTCCCTCACTGGGTGTCTGTTGTGGGGCGGGGAAGGGAAAGGAGTTTGTAAGCCGCTCTGAGACTCCTTTGGGTTGTTGTTGTTGTTGTTCAGTCGCACAGTCGAGTCCGACTCTTTGCAACCCCATGGACCAGCTCCCTCCAGGCCTTCCGGTCTTCCGCCATCCTCTGAAGTTTGCTCAAATAAATCCAGCCTCTTCTTCTTAAAGACGAACAAAATATGTGGCAGGGTATGAGCTTTCACGAGTCACTGCTTTCTGAAGAAGTGAGCGATGACTCACAAAAGCTCCTCCACTGCCACATATTCTGTTAGTTTTTAAGGTGCTCCTGGACTCTGGCTCTTTTCTACTGCTACAGACAGACTAACACGGCTGCCCATCTTGGTACAACTGCTGTATTCTAGTCTAGTAGCACCTTAGGGACCAACAAGATTTTTGGGGGGTTGAGCTTTTGGAACTCGAAGCTCCCTTCAACAGGTATCTGACAAAGGGAACGTTGACTCCCAGAAGCTCATACCTCAAAAGTCTTGTGGGTCCCTAAGGTACTACTGGACTTGAATCTAGTTTGGTGTAGTGGTTAAGTGTGCGGACTCTAATCTGGGAGAACCGGGTTTGATTCCCCACTCCTCCACTTGCACCTGCTGATGTGACCTTGGGTCAGTCACAAGCTCTGGCACAGCTGTCCTTGAAAAAGAGCAGTCTGTGTCAGAGTTCTCTCAGCCCCACCCACCTCACAGGGTGTCTGTTGTGGGGAGGGGAAGGGAAAGGAGTTTGTAAGCTGCTCTGAGACCCCTTTGGGTAGTGAAGGGCGGGGTATAAATCCAATCTCTTCTTCTTTTACCTCACAGGGTGTCTGTTGTGGGGAGGGGAAGGGAAAGGAGTTTGTAAGCTGCTCTGAGACCCCTTTGGGTAGTGAAGGGCGGGGTATAAATCCAATCTCTTCTTCTTTTACCTCACAGGGTGTCTGTTGTGGGGAGGGGAAGGGAAAGGAGTTTGTAAGCTGCTCTGAGACCCCTTTGGGTAGTGAAGGGCGGGGTATAAATCCAATCTCTTCTTCTTTTACCTCACAGGGTGTCTGTTGTGGGGAGGGGAAGGGAAAGGAGTTTGTAAGCTGCTCTGAGACCCCTTTGGGTAGTGAAGGGCGGGGTATAAATCCAATCTCTTCTTCTTTTACCTCACAGGGTGTCTGTTGTGGGGAGGGGAAGGGAAAGGAGTTTGTAAGCTGCTCTGAGACCCCTTTGGGTAGTGAAGGGCGGGGTATAAATCCAATCTCTTCTTCTTTTACCTCACAGGGTGTCTGTTGTGGGGAGGGGAAGGGAAAGGAGTTTGTAAGCTGCTCTGAGACCCCTTTGGGTAGTGAAGGGCGGGGTATAAATCCAATCTCTTCTTCTTCTTCTTTATTTGTTAGATTTTTATCCCGCCCTCCTGGCCTAGGCCGGCTCAGGGTGGCTTACAGACAGAGTAGAATTCCGACACTACAATAGAATAAAATCACATCAGTTAATATAAATACATGTTGAAACCAAGATGTAATAAAGTGCTAGCAACATTTCCTCATTTTACAGTCTGCTCCTTGGTCTTCTTCAGCTATCCGGGGTGATCGGCTCAGGCGGTATTTAAGGGTCCAGCGGGTCAGGGCTTCACCAACGTAGGTGGCAATTGGTCGTGGCGGCGGCTCCAAAGGTCTCCGGCAGACCAACACAGCTGCCTTCTGAAGTTATGTTAATATTTGCCACGATGGTGAAATGGAGCCTCCATGCTCAGGCACGAACAAAAAGAAAGGAGGGAGGAAGAAAAAAAGGGAGAAGAAAAGAAAAAAGGGGGGGTAAGGGAAAAAAAGAAAACTCAACCCAAAAAGCTGCTATGAATCCACAAGGGTTAAGCTGACACTACATATAATAAACATACAAAATTTATTAAGGTGTACACATTTTAAAAAGCTTAAAACTCATTTAAAATATTCACAATCAGACCTAAAAAACTTCTCAACATTCATACATAGATGGGTTAGTGCTGTGCAACTGAACCAAACGCGTTTCGGCCCCAAAGGGCCTTCCTCAGTGGTCACAATCCAAAATACAAAGTTGACATACAGTCCAAAAAATATTTACATAAGATGTTAAATATATATGCAGTATAAGGCCAGATGTTATGTCCTAGATAATAATTACCAAAAGAAAATAAGGGAAAAGGGGAAACAAGGAAAAATATATTTAACATCTTACGTAAATATTTTTTGGACTGTATGTCAACTTTGTATTTTGGATTGTGACCACTGAGGAAGGCCCTTTGGGGCCGAAACGCGTTTGGTTCAGTTGCACAGCACTAACCCATCTATGTATGAATGTTGAGAAGTTTTTTAGGTCTGATTGTGAATATTTTAAATGGGTTTTAAGTTTTTTAAAATGTGTACACCTTAATAAATTTTGTATGTTTATTATATGTAGTGTCAGGTTAACCCTTGTGGATTCATAGCCTCCATGCTCAGGGGCAGCATACTTCTGCATGGCTGTTGCTGGTGAGCAACAGTACGGACAGTGCTTAGCCTCTGTGTCCCAGCTTGTGGGCATTCAGTTGGCCACTGGGGGAAGCGGGATGCTGGACTAGACAGACTGCCGGTTTGATGTAGCTGGGCTCTTCTGATGCTTTGGCCGTGCCTTCATGTTCTCCATGTGCCAGCTGCTCTGAAGTCTTGGCACAGCGCAGGGCATTAATTTCCAACCCTGGTTCCACAACAGCTA